TATATATATATATATAATATATATTACTGGCACCAAACTTTTAAACAGTACTGTAGAATCAAGAAAATTAAAATTCAACTAAAAACAATCTGAAGCCATTTTTTCCCCAGTCTCTTTGCTGATTTGATGATAAACTTTGCTTTATAATCTAAGGTGAAGGCTTCTTTAAACACACAACACATTTGCACACAAACTTCCAACACAACTGTGACAGATACAGCAACATAACGTGTAGGTGGAGATAAAACAGGCTGCAATATTTAAAAAAGTATGACTCACACTGGCAGAGTTGAACACATCAGGCAGCAGAAAGTTCAAAAGCGACCAGAGCTCATGTAGATTATTCTGCAGTGGGGTACCAGTCAACAACAGACGATTGGTCGTCTTAAACTCACGCACAATCTCTGACAACTGTGAGCCGGAGATAAAAGAGAAAGAGACAGCAAGACGGAAAAAGACAGGAAAGATAACTCTGAAGTCTTTTCCACTGTATAGGATCATTAAATCATCTCAGAAGTGTTATGAGATGTACTGCTCTGCTTTTTAGTTACTCTTGTATTAATTGGTTCTCATCAATTGTTTGTCTGGGTTCGAATACCTTTGATTTCTCGTTTTTGATGCGATGGGCCTCATCGATAACCAGATAGCGCCAGTTAAACTTCTTAAAGACAGATTTCTCCCGAATCACCATCTCGTATGATGTCACGCACACATCCCATTCACCGGGCATCATCACATCACGTATGAACGCTGCCTAAAAACATGCACATACTGATTAATTATTACACAAGCATTTTGACGGACCTGCTGGTAGGATGAAAGTGGGTACAAAGGCAAAAGAACAAAGTAAAGCTTGAGAAAAAAAGAAGGACTTGAGCAGCCTTACTCTTTCATCTTTATTCCCGATGAGACAGACGGCCTTCAGGGTGGGCACCCAGCGTTTGAATTCATTCATCCAGTTATGCAGGGTAGATTTGGGCACTAGGACCATGTGGGGGCCGGGAATGTTCCTATAGTGCTTAAGGTAGCCTAGCAACGCGATTGTCTGCAGGGTCTTACCCAGACCCTGAACCAATCAGAACACAGAAATCCAGTGAGTCACAGTCTATGACATCAACAAGACCCAGAAAAATCACAGTCTCACTGAAGCCTCTGAAAAGATGCTGTAGCCGTGTTTTCATTGTCATGAATCTGTGTGGTTCTGCAATGACGTATATTCAGACTATTTCTGAAAATGTAGGCGTTCAACTAAGGATTAAATCATATATAGTTGCTTTTAAGCAGACCCGCCACTATGAACATGCTGTATTTCAGTGTGTTGAGCTTTATTTTAAAACATTAGAGAGAGATTGGGGTTTTACCATCTCATCAGCCAGGATGCCATTGATGCCGTTCTCATACAGAGAAATCATCCAGTTCAGGCCTCGGATTTGATAATCTCTCAAAGCTCCATTCTTAACATCTGTCAAGGAATCAAAAAATTAGAAATTTCACACTTCACCTTTAAAGCAGTGGTTCCCAAAAATTTTGACTCCAAGGCCCATCATTGTTTGCAACAAGGATTAAGGATAAAGATTTTTTTTCTTTTATATTTTTTATTCACAATTTCTACCTGATAAAATATTTTGGAGCTTGGCATAACTAGAAAAAAAGTAAACTCATTATAAAAACTGACCATAAAGTTAATAATATTAAATAATAATATTTTATATCATATAAATAAATAATATTTTATTAATTTACATGATTTTTTTTAGATCATGTTAATGTCTACCTCATATAACCGGGTTTTCAAAGAAAGTGTAAATCCTAGTTCTTCTAAGAAAAAAAAGTTGAGTGCGTGAATTCAAAGAAATTATTTGTTTTTTTAGTTGTTGTGGCTTATTTTAATGCTTGTTTTGTTTAATTTGAAATAATTTTAAGTCATTTTGAGACCCCTTGGAATTTTGCTGAGGCCCCCTAGTGGGCCCCAAGTCCCCTGGTTGAGGACCACTGCTGTTAAGAAATGTACTTACTCTCAAGTGGTTTCAAACCTGTATGCTGTTATTTTTTCTGTGGAATACAAAATGTGATTTTTTTTTTTTTTTTAAAGAACCTTTATCATAAAAAAAACACATGTAGTGACTACGAACTGTCAAGATCCAGAAAGAACAAAAAAAAACACTATGAAATAACTATAAAAGTAGCCCATATGACTACATTCAGATACTTCTGAAGTCATATGATAGCTTTGTGTGGGGAACAGGCCAAAATTATGTCATTATTCAGTTTTTTGGATGTCAGTAACATCAAATGGCAATTATTCTTGCTTGTCTCGTAACTAAATGTCATGTCAACTAAATTGCACCATATTAAAAGTTCTATATAAAGATTCTTCAAAATTTTTTGTGTTTCATGGAAAAAATAGCAGCATATGGGTTTTAAATGACATGGGGGTGAGTAAATAATCACAGCCTTTTTTGAAATAACCAATATAACCAATTACTATTTGTATTTAAAACAGTGTTAGACTCATTAATAAACAGAAACAGACTGACTGTTCATAAAAACATTGATTCATACATGAGGGTGACTCCTCAAAACGAACAAGAACATTAGCTGCCTTCCTGCTCTCGGATAAGAGTTCCTCATCCTCCTCCTGCTCTGTTCGACGATGGCGGTTACTGGAACGCACAACACAGAAATAAATCAAACCAAATCACACATGTCTGACCAACAGCTTTGGGAATAATCGCTAACCCCATGCATCTGAATGTGTGAGCATGCATGTCTCTGTATGTGTGTCTGACTCACTCTCCAACAGACAGCAGGTTCTGTTTCTCATCCTGTTTGATTCGGGGTCTCCCCACCTTCACCTTCAGAGGTGAGGTGGGGGATTTCTGACTGGCAGGCTGAATGAAATGAGCGAACAGCTCAGTCTGCTTCAGCAGGAACTCAAACCTGTTTGCACGATCTGTTTTCTATAGGCAAGGGAGAGACAAAGATTTTTGAGTAAATTATGATTATAAATTATTACTTCAAATTCTTTAAAAACTATTTTAACTTCATAAAGTTTTGTTTAAAAAAAAAACACATTTTCACATACTGTATATTGTTTTTTAAAATCGATTGATGGATTTTACATTATTTGTATTCTATCAGTTAAAAAGAATTTCAAATTCTGCCAAAAGTGACCTAAACTGTGCCTGAAACCTAACAAATGCTGAATTCACAAGCAGTATATGAAAGTAGGAAGGCGTCAAGCATGTCTGAATTCAGTGTTTGATTAATAACTAGTAAATTCCTTCATCTAGTAGGTTTCACCTCCATCTCTGGTTGGTTTTGAGGGTTGGTAGTGCAAACCTCATTCTCACCTGTGATTAACACTGGCTAACACCTCAATGTATTTAAAAATCTGTTGGCACTACATTAACCATTAAAACTGTAATGAAAGCTCACTCTTTTTTCTTCATACTCAGGGTCAACCAAGCTCTCCTTCACAGCTGCTTTAGGAGGAGGGTCCAGGAGAAATGGTGGGTCTTCCTAGAAACACAAATCAAAGACACACATTAGATACCAATACATGCAGACAATATATGCATTGTAACAACTATTAAATCCCAGGTGCTGTGACAGATGCATGTGCTGTTTAATAAGTTAGACACATGTTTTCCTCCATGCATAACTTTCATCAGGCAAATATTTCCACTTTGTCCTCATCTTGACAGCCAGCGAGTTTCCATTAAACTTCACATACTTCACTGAATACGTGCCAGCGCATATACATATGAAACAGATGGATTTATTTAGAAAAAGATCATAATTTTGCTGAAATATTTATTGTTGGACATTAAATTTAGCTCAAAAAAATTTATTAGATATAAACGTATTAAAACAGTGGCAGTCCTTCTATTTAATTCAGTTTACACAAGATGCATATAATCTGATCTCCAATCACATATATATAATCAATCAAGATAAGAGGTAACAATTTAGACCCATCCGCTTTCAGTATCACATTAGTGTGTCACCAAACCCGTTTGTGGGAAGACAACGGATGAAGAAGAACTTTTATGGATGAAAAGCAAATTATTGAAGGATCTGAAAACAAGTGAGACTGAACAAAAGGTTAATATTTACATTTTTTCATTATGAAATAGTGTATAAATAGTTAAATAAGGGTCACTGTATATGGTGCTGCAACATTTGTCCTGCTATTGTGTTGGTAATCGAATAGATAGAGTCATTAATTATCCAGACTATTAGATAAATATCAAGTGAATATCATTTCTGTACAGAAGCATAATTAATAGTAAATATATAAACATCAATCCTGCTGCAATAATTTATTGGCTCGGTCAATATTAATGTACATATCAGCCTCCAACAGGCCACCACCGAGAAATGACAGTAACGTGTTACTATGTCCATGAGGAATAAATGTGTGATTTCTTATAATTTAGTTATATTAAATTCTGCTTTACAGCTGTATGTAAACAGGTGTTTTTGTTTTATAATATAATGGTCACAAATTAAAACCTTTCACATATAGATACATTCACTACATTTATTTTTATAACCTGCAGTTTGCAGGTTGTCTAGAGGACAACATGATGACAGAATGTGGAACACCATGTATTTTTGTTTTGTTTTTTTCCAAAAAATACAGATATAAATTGGCTATTTTTATCCAGTTAAACAAAGCTACAGCCTTACTTCACCTGTAACTTCAGCGTAAAGTTTCTTCATTAGAGCTACGCACCACCAAAGAGTGAAAGGGAGGGATCACATTAAACCAGTGTTATGCTAGCTGTCACTGTTCTAGACTGTTTGTTCTGCCTCTGGATATAGTCCAATCAGCGTCAAGTCACCTTCTGTGGAGTATTTGGGGTATTTTATCTTGAATTTGATCAAACAATTATCTTTATTTAAAATGTTTCAAGTCTTAATCTTTTTCCTTTTGTTATACTGGGATAAATCATAATGGAATGTATGCTAAAATTGTTGGACGTGGTGCCCTACCTAGAAATGTTTCCACCAGCCGCCACTGGAGTAGAGTCACAATAACAAGTTACAGCAAACATGCGTTACAACAGGTTGTCATGGTAACCATTATTGCTTCTCCTGTACATTCGAAATAAATCACTATAAGATCCCGGCATTTCTTATATTATTATTATTACGCCAGTGGTGGCATACACGGTATCACAATTTTATTCTAGTAACAGTATTTTAGCAGAAGCTATGGCTACCATTGTAACTTTTTAGGGGATGTGTTACAAATCTTACATCATAATCACAAAAGTATGACAATAAATAACAATACAAATTGATTACACGCGATTTCTGTAAACGCAGCAATATGAACAACAATATGAAGTGTGACCAGTCATGTAATATAATGTTTAAATCGCTTATTAAAACGACTCTTTTTGATAACTAAAAGTTGGACCCCGGCCTTAAACTGCTTATAGTGACAAAAGATCAATCCTCTCACTGACCCAGGCTTATATAAGCTCAAATAAAGCCAGATGACATCAGAGTCATTTCAGCTCAGAGTAACAGTGAGTATGCGAGTGTTTATGTACGCATGTCTGCATATAGTTGTTGATGTTGATTAGACAGATTTGCACGCGTTCCGTCTGTGGCTGCATGAACAGTGGCGCAACTCTGCTCCGACCGCAGACGGAACGCATGCAAATCTGTCAAAGCCACAAAAACACGCTCTGAAGCACTGAGTAATAAACATCTAAAGCTCTGCAGATGTGAACTGAACTCCGCCTTCCCGCCATGTTCCGTTCCCCCCAAACGCAGATGAACTGGAAACTTCTGCATCCTGCTTTTCATGTCCGTCTGCAAACACATTCTGTACTTCTCTCTTTCGCTTTACCTCTTCTGCCTCCGCGTGCGCCTCCCGAGAAGTAGACGGTAGCTCTTCGTCCGACATGTTGGTTATTGTGCGAAGGTTTTCATGAGTTACTGGTGACTAGACAGTAAGTTATAAAGCATAATTTTGGCGTATGCGTCATGACAGGACCGTACAGTCACGGCTCGCACGCACGCCCCTTTCAGAGCTTTATATCAAATCTCGCGAGAACAGAGTGATCCATAGTCCCTTTCAGAGCTGTTCTCTAAATCTCGCGATATTATCAAATGCTCAAAAATGGGCAACTGTCAAACATCAAACACTGAGACACAAGGCAGAAAGATCAAATCTATCATAATGATTTTGTTTTAATGCCCTGATATTGTAAGATTATAATTGATATTATCTATTATTAAAACGGGACAATACATTGTGTGTTTTTGTTTGTTGTGGGTTCCATAAACTATTATTATGATTAATGATTATTATGATGTCGGGTCAAACAATTTTTAACAAACATTTTGTAAATGTCTAATTGTATTTAATATTTTCATTTTCACAAACTGTGAATATACTGTATACCAGTGGTTTTCAGCCTCTTTTACTCCAAGGACCCCCACTGTCCTCATGACTTTTCCAGGTGTTTGTGATTTAATGGATCAGCTTTACTTACAATTTCTAGTAGCTGGACACGTATACGTATATATATACGTATACGTGTCCAGCTACTAGAAATTGTAAGTAAAAAATTATATTTATGAAATGTATAGTTCCATATATCCATTTTTTTTTTCAAGACATTATGAAACCTTGGCTCTTCTAAGAAAAAAACCTTTTGAGGGGGTAAATTAAAATATCTTTATAAATATATTTGCTTATTTTTAATGCTTATTGTCTACCATTTTATGTTATCTTGAGACCCCCTATAGTGGGCCCCAGCTCTCTGGTTTAGAACAAACCAACCTTTTTACATTTTTTCAAATGTTATTTTATGTTTGTGCTTTTGGATGTAGATTTTATACACACAAGCATAAAAGGTGGTAATATTAATATTATTTTATTATTATTATTATTTTTTATTTTTTTTTGCCAATAAAGTATTTTGATATAGATATTGGTCACTAGATGGCACACAGACACCACAGCATTTCCGCATGCAGCACAACCTGCTACTTCCCATAATGTGCAGATAGGAAAAATGGTGTTTTACCTAAACAAATATTTGTAGGACAGATTTTGGTGGCATGCATAACAAATCATTGTTAAAATGAACAAAAGTTTGAAATAATTCCCCATTTTCCATTTCCCTGTCTCCTCCTTTCTTTCTCTGAGGCTCCAACAACAGATGGCCTAGTAAACCAGTTAAAATTCCACTCACAGCATTTTCCAAACTGACCTTGGGTTTTCTCACATAAACACACACACAAGGTCATGCTGGCTTGTTACAAGATACTGGAGGGAGGAACATCTTTTTCTTCCTCCACCCAGAATACACACACAGACGGTTCGCTTGTACATACATGTCCTCTCAAAGATCACACACAAATACAAAAACACACACGCTCTCTCCTCCCACCCTCTGTTTGTTCCTCCTCCGTCTCTCGCTCTTTCTCTCTCACTCTACAAACGCAGCAGCTATGAGCGCAGGCGATGTGGTGTGCACAGGATGGCTCATAAAATCCCCTCCGGAGAAGAAGCTAAAGAGATTTGTGAGTAAAAGTCCTGTGTGTCTGTGCGTGTGTGTGATGCATTCTGCATTAGAACCAGGTACTGCAGTATAATAATTATCCACTGTCAGTTCATGTTCTCTGTGTTTTTATAACACAGCTGTGTTTCTCTGTGCTGCATGGTTGCATTTTAATACATACTAAGTGCTGAACTATGCATTGTGACTAATGCTTACACTTGTGCTTTCCCTGCTGCTTTCCATCACTGTCAGTGTTTTATACTACTTAACTGTGCTGTGCCGAAGGCTCTGGTTGACTGCATTTTAATTTCAGTTGCCTGTGGACTTTAGATTGTTGTTATGCGAAGCTTTACACATGCTAATTCTCAGCTGTGTTAGTGCAGCATTTGTGTGCCTTCTTGCACGTGGCTGTGCTGCTTTGCATTGCCTCTTGCCTGTCAAATTCAGTGTTGTGCTTTGTGACAAAGCAGTTTACCTGTGCTGTATCTCTTCCATAAGTTACTCTGTCATGGAATGCATCTCAAATTCTGTATTTATTGTGTATAATTTGTTATTGCACTTTAAGTATGTAAGTGACAGAGCATTGTGCTTTGTCATTTAACTGCAGTCAGTATGTTATTTGCTGTCCCTGTGTTTGATCTTCCTCATTTCTTTTAGCATGTATCTGCAATCTGTTTATGTTTACTGTGCTTAATTGTGCAAGTGTTTCACTGTGCTCAGCGTTCATTTCACCCTGTGCTTTCATCTGTCAGACCAGAAGCCACAGTGCACATTTTACCTGTGTCTGAGCAAATGTTACTTGTATTGCTGTGATAATGTTTGCTATACATGTAAACAGGAAATAGTTTAAAACAGGAACTATTAAAGTAAAACTGGAACAGTTTAAAACTGAAACAGCTTAACTGGGTTCTCTTTTTACTGTGTTAAACGGTGCTGTACCTCAGTTTTGTTGTAAACAGGGATGAGCAGTATGTCATGGACTCATGGTAATCCCTATTAACAGTATACAGACCTGTTAACACCAAAAATGATATCTATAACCATAACTATATTGGTTGATATTACCAATGGATGATAACTGTCCAGATTCTGTTTATTACAAGAGTTGTTTGGCATTATTAAATCCTTAAGCTTGTTAATGTTGGGTGTATTCTGATTTTTTTAAATTGTTTACCTGACAACATTTGTTCTGAAAGTGGTTTCCAGTGGTATTGTTCCTCTGTGTCATTATGAAGCCCCGTTCACACAGAGGACTATAACTATAACATAGCTATAACTATAAAGTTTTAATAATCGCTCTAGTTCTGTGAGAATAGGGAAGTCCACACCAGAGTATGTGAGTGGAGTGGAGCGGCAACAATTTCTCCTCCGCACTCCAAGCAATACTCACTCCGCTTCAGCATTTCCCGCTCCTCACTCCACTCCTCTCTCAACTGATCAGAAACGCCACTCTGCCTTCGTTCCATGACAAAATTTGCGGCTAAATTATTTCAGAATGTTTTGAAATATCACACAGATGTTCAGAACTTTTATTAAACAAAAAATAAATACACAATACTAAAAGAATAGTTTTAATGTGGTTTATTGAAACACTACAATTAGCCCACGTCTATATTAAATGACTGTTTAACTCAGGGGTCTCTAACCTCGGTCCTGGAGGGCCAGTGTTCTGCAGAGTTTAGCTCCAACTTGCCTCAACACACATGCCTGGAAGTTTCAAGTATATATTGTAAGACCTTGATTAGCTGGCTCAGGTGTGTTTGATTTGGGTTGGAGCTGAACTCTGCAGGACACCGGCCCTCCAGGACTGAGTTTGGTGACCCCTGGTTTAACTCGCTTGTCTGTGCAGCGCCTCTCTACTATGGTGAAACTGAGGGTTGTAGTTACTTCAGAAACATAAAGAATATGCTGTAACTTTTTAAGCTGATAATTCACAGGACAGCGTTCACAATTTTCTGCACTCCTGAATGTTTCTATGTGTGCGCGATCTGTACGTTATGTGCGAGCTTGTATGTTGTGTGCGCGTGCAGCAATGTAGCAGCACATTAGTTTAGAGCGGAGATTAGCTACCTGTACAAAAAACTGTTTAAAACGTGAATTCACCCCATCAATATTGAGTATCCACATGCTACAAACAAACATGCTTGAGATATAACCTCCCGCACTCGTCCATCGCCGTCATTATAACCTTCACATTCTTTCTGATTTGAGTGATCCATGTATCTGTCAAGCTAGATAATGATGTTTAATGCGTGAATTCTTGAAAAAATGCAGTTATATTATAGGCTGTTGGCATTAATTGTGCTCGTGATGGAGTGGTAGTGGAGCGCTCTCGGAGCGACTGAAAACCACAACGCTCCGACTTTCAAAAAATCCACTCCTCGCTCCAGTCAAAAATCACGCCGCTCCGCTCCCAACATTAACAAGCTTGAGCATTTAAAGCAGCAGATGATATACAGTAACTGCAGAATGCACTTTATTATTTGTTAGTGTGGACATTAATATAGCTACCGTTATAGTTATTGTTTTGGTGTGAACAAGCCTTAACTGTGATGTGGACTTCCCTATTCTCATAGAATTAGAATGATTATTAAAACTTTATGGTTAGAGTTATCATCCTTTGTGTGAACGGCAGTTAAATTCTAAAATTAAGTATTCAATCATTAGTCATATCATAGCATCATGCAAGTATAGCATTGTTATTTTAATAGCACTAAGATAATATTATAGTTTTTATTCATATTTTGAATTAGTTTTTATTATATTTTTTGTTTTCATTTTAATTTCAGTTAAAGATTTAGTAATACTGTTGTGTGTTTTATCTTTTTTTTTTAGTTTTTGTTTTTCTTAATGTCTAAATCATTTTGTATTCTTTTTTATTTCAGTTTTAGTTATTTTAGCACATGAAGTTAAACTAGCTAAATGAAAATGATAAATGTTGGCTTGGCAACTAGCTAAAATAAAATAAGTTTAAGTTTTATATATTTGATTTTATTTCAGTTAGTGTTTATTTTAAGGAATTAATATGCTTTATTTATGTTTTAGTTAGCTATAATAACCGTAATAACTTGCACATGAACGTTTAGGTAAATTTTTTTTTTTTAATGTATATGAATAATTAAAGAAGATATATTTTAGGTGCTGTGCTTGATCACCATTTCTTTTAAGTTGTTCACCATTTGTTATCACCTTTTAGCTTTTTGGTAGGTAGTTTACTTGAATAGTCCTTTGGTAAGACATGAAATTTTAAAAGCAAATATTTAATGTAGTCTCCTTATTTGGAGGAAATAATAACTATGTGTACAAGAATTACCCCCAAAATCGAAGTTTTAGATTAAATATAGTATGTCAAACTTAAGTGCACTGCTGTCACTGCTGACATGTCATTTACTAATAAGTTTAAGTTTTATATATTTGATTTTATTTCAGTTAGTGTTTATTTTAAGGAATTAATATGCTTTATTTATGTTTTAGTTAGCTATAATAACCGTAATAACTTGCACATGAA